GATAGCTTACCGCATTAAGAAGAGAGAGTCGGAGACACATGTATGACTGGTCTGGCGATTCGAGAGAGAACTCTCTGGCCAGAGGGAGATGTTCCTTGACGTAGACACCAAGACCGTGCATGTGGGTTAGAGAGTCTTTTCTGAGGAGAGGAAGGTAGCCGGTGATCGAGAGATCAGAAGAGGGGATAGACGAGACAAGGTTGGTCTCACAGAGAGCCAGTACATCCGGGCCGTTTGCAGCGAGGAAAAATTCCAGACTGCAGAAGTTTGTCCTAATGCCCCGGATGTTGGAGAACGAAATGTTGAGGGGTTTAGGTGGTTTTTGAGAGGCTGGTTTAGGGTTAATCTTTCGGTTTTTGTAACTCATGTTGAATTTTGTTTGTAAGTAAAAGAAACAGACAGTTTCGACCGTGACGCGGGCAGATAGGAAAAACATAATACCTCATCTCAGAAATATAGACAAACTCCGTACATCTATTTTAAAATGTTTGACTTAAAAACATTTTTTCTTATAAAAATAGTTTATTTCAACTGGCTGACATAAATTGCTCGGTCTACATGGAAATTAATGGGTTTCTATGACCATTATTAACTAAATTTTGCGATCAGATAGGATTGTAAATTGATCTTTTTTCCCAAAATGAGCAATTTCAGTACAGTAAAAATGGTAGCTAACCATGAAAAATTAAGGTCATTTTCAGAATCAGCACCATCAAATTAGCTAAAAAAAACGTGTTTCGTTTCTTGGCACTAAAAATCACGTTGACCATTGTAATTAAGTATTAATAATAAATAAGGAGTAAAATGTTTTTAAAAAATAACTACAAATAACTGCATTCGGATCTACAGTTATTTTTATAATAATTTGAAACATAACCGTTACCGCCCACCCACCGTTAGGATAATACAATAGACCTACTACCCATAATGCTCCATTGTCCAGTATATATAAATAGTCGAGAGAAAGCGCAAAACACATGGCCTGAAGATTACGTTCACGCATGAAACAGAATGTCTTCGCTTGATGTTGACCTATATCCAATTTTATATTTACATATGTTCTATCTCTGATATTGAGTACTTATTAATATAGTATACCTCAAAACTATATTTTTACCATATATGTGTGTGTGTGTGTGTGTGTGTGAGAGAGAGAGAGAGAGAGAGATATAACATATCAGTCTGGATGTGCGGGTGGTGTAATGGATACCAGCTCCGAATTGGAGTTCGGAGGGCTGCTTTCAAATTCCTGTTGAGTCCGTTACATTTATTTATGCGTAAATACACTTGGGAAAACTATGACTATATATCCCCTTCTTATGGGTTAAATAGTCGAACATGTTTCGGAAAAAATTAATGTTTTTTTTTTTAATTCTGGCAATCTAAAATGTGTTTCGACTTTAAATAACCCGTATAGGGTTGGTAAGCCGTAAAATAACAAATCAGTCAACATTTGTATCTATTCATCAATATTTTAACTTTCGAAAACTTACTCTTGCCTCCAGCGTTTAGCGAATTGACAACATACAATCGTTTGAAAGAATAAACCTGATCCTTGACAAATTTCTACCGTCGTCTTGACGAGGAATGTAAATACCTGACTAGCCATGTTTACACTATCTTGGCGTGTTGAAGAGCCAGTTTTTTCGTCACAGGGTCGTGATGTAAAAGCGGTCTTTGGCGTGTCGTTCTGGGGAGTTTCCTGTAACTTAAACCTCAGGTTCTGAACTCTTCTCAAATAAAAATGTTCAAGATGTTTACAGAAAGTTGTTCACTGAGAACGTAAAATTTCACAACCAGGCTACAAATCGAGGTGATATTACTTTCAAAATGGATTTCATTAATATAAATATATATATATATATATATATATATATTAAAAGTAAACGAACCCCGCGATAATCTATTTTTTAAAAGTCGGTTATTTCTTACGAGTAACTTAACAAAAATACGGGTACCCTGTAAAAAGCGGTAAATTAAAAAAGAAATGTATTTAGCTATCATGATTCATGCGCAAATCTGAATAATCATCGTAGATGTTCGAAATGTTTGTCTGAATGTTCAACACAAAGTTTTAAACATGGTAAGCAGGAGGCAGTAGCTTTACCGACAGTCTTAAAAGTAATTTCATTCCAATCTTTCGTTAAGTTCCACTTCAATGAATCAATATCGATGATGTCACGACGACTGGTTTGCATATGATTTAGGAGTATACTCCACATACAGTAATCCATAATATTCAAATCGGGGCCTTTAGATTGCAACTATGATGGATCAATTAGAGCTGGTGTATTTTCTCGAAGAATAAATTTGCTGCTTTTTCACTGGGCACCATGTAGTTTACTCTTATAAATGAGATTTTAGAGTGCCACTAAGATGGACCAATTTGAGTTGGTGTTTTTTCTCGGAAAATACATTTGCCGATTTTTTGCTTTGCAAGTTGTATACTGTATGAGTTCTATGTTAACCGTTTCTTCTCTCGCACGCTTCTCTCTCGTGGAAATACTTTCTGGCTTCTTGCTTTCAACAATCATCTAATGCTTCTATTTATCTATAGATTCTTGAAGTGTCTGCAATGTTATTGATCCTGATCTGTCATCTCGGCTTCTGTCAATATCAGACCTCATAATTTCACTGTTGAATTTACTGGATGTGGCCACACAGTGTCCAGTAAAAAAAGCGCTTAATTCAGACATAAATTTTATTTAGCTATTATGATTCACACACAGAACTGAACAATCACCGTAGATATTCGAAATGTTTGCCTGAATGTTCAACACAAAGTTATAAACGTGGTAATCAGGAGGCAATATCGTTGCTGATAGTGTCAAGAGGAATTTCATTCCAAGCTTCAGTTAAGTTCCACTTCAAAGAATTAATATCGACGATGTCACGACGACGGTTTTGCAAATAAATTAGGAGTATACTCCAGATACAGTAATCCATAAGATTCAGGTCTGGGTTTTTAGAGGTCCACTGAGATGAACCAATTTGAGCTGGTGTATTTTCTCGAAGAATAAATTTGCCGCTTTTTTTACTGGGCACACTATACTATTCATTAAGCACTCCAAATTACGAATTAAAAAAATAAGTTATAAAAACTGTCCCTACAGTTTTTCAGGAAATTTTAATTAACCTATTTCAGAAATGTAGCTCAGCTTCAGAACTCACGAAACCCATATTTGATGAATTTTACAGGGTGCCTAATAAAACGGAAGTAGATTCAGAAATAAATTTATTTAGTTATCATGATTCATGCACAAATTGAACAATCACTGTAGATGTTCGAAATGCTTGTCACTGAAATGGTCCAATTTGAGCTGGTGTTTAATTTTCAAAGAATAAATTTGCCGATTTTTTACTGGGCAAGTTGTATAGTGTATAAGTTCTATGTCAACAGTTTCTTCTCTCTAGCGTAAATTCTTTCTGGCTTCTTGCTTTCAACAATGATCTGCAAAATATTCATTGCAATATCAACCGCCATCTTTTGTCGCATTGAATCCTGCTCTTTTATTGCCCTCTGTATTTTTTTGCACTCTCAGTTACACCTTGCAGCTTAATTGATTTCATTACCTTGTTTAAAGGGAAAAGATTAAAAATAAAAATTAAAGCTTAAAAAAAACCATAATGTCTTTTATTTTGAGATTAAAAAAAGAAAACTTTTTAAACACTATGTCAGCTTTTATTTTTGATTTTTTACTTTCCTTCAGAATTTTTACTTGCTTTTGTTGCAATAATAATGTTGTCAGTCAAGAGCAGAGAACAAATGTCTGCTGCTTTGAAACAATAAAATAATAAGCACTTAGAACAATAACAAATAAAAAATTAAACACTGAAAGACGAACTTTTATTCACTTTGCCTGGGGGAAAACTATTTAGCCTCTGAGCTTCAGGGGAAACTACAATTGATATAAGATCAACTATAATCATTTAAAATGTCATTCACTCTTTCTCCGTCTCTCTTGGCACCATATTTATTCTTGATTCCACACTGGAAGAAACAATATTATATCTATATACTCACGTATCATGCGGCCTTTGATGAATTTTAGAGTGTACCTAGTAAAACAGTGATAGATTCAAAAAGAAATTTATTTAGTTATCCTGATCCACGCACAAACTGAACAATCATCGTAGATGCCTGAATGTTCAACACAAAGTTGTAAAGGTGGTAACCAAGAGGCAGTAGCTCTGCCGATAGTGTCAAGAAGAATTTAATTCCAAGCTTCAATGATTCAGTATCGAGGATATCATTACTAGTAATATATTCCAGATAGATTCAGATCTGGGATTTTAGAAGGCCACTGATTAGAATAAATTGGCCGATCTTTTACTAATCTTATGTATATCATTCGACTCTTTTTCGTATATTTTTATATGAAATTGAGTGTGCAATTTTCGCCTAACGTTTCCTCATTCCTCGTCTTTAACTGACCCTGTTAATTCCCCTCTCCAAGTTCTCCACCGCCTTAACCAGGTATTGAACTCACACTCTTTGAGTCCTGTCACTGGATCTAACTAACGACTTTATCCACTGTGTCATGTGTCCTTGAGGACATCTGTGTATGAATTTCTGAGTATTATAAATCTAATGTCTTTAGCAACCATTTTTTACCAGAACTCATATTGCAATTTTTGCTGTTATTATTGCATGTATTTTTACCAGAGCTCATAATGAATGACTGCACTCTCGATAAGGGTCCTTCAATTGAACGTCTGTCTTTTTTAATTGGTTTTTTTTTTTACGGTTTATCAATCTTTTTAAGTTATTTAAAGCCGAAACATATTTTTGGATTATAAGAATATTTTGCAAATAATAAAGATTTTCTGATACAAGGCTTACTATTTAATCCATGGCTAAGAGTAGAAAATATTGATTCATACCTTTCCCAAGGGTATTTGCACGTAAATTAATATAACGAACCCGACTGGAATTCGAACTCGACTTTTCCGATTTCTCATTTGGAGACATTATCCATTACCCCATCCGCGCATCCAAGCTTACAGCAACTGGTGTTCCGAAGCGGTCACCCATCAAGGTACTGACCAGGCTCGACGTTGTTTAACTTCGGTGATCGTACGGGAACCGGTGTTTCCTTCCCTACGCATGCTTTTGGCAAAAAAGAAGTCACACTCTTACTAAAAACCGCTAATTTCTGGGACAGACCCCCATGTAGATGGTTCTCTGAACCCTACAATCTTAACCTCTTCAGGTCAGTGATTATCAATTTATACTTACATGACACCTGCCGGGTAGGGTTTGTTATTTCTCAGTTGCGTCTCTGACTTCGTGCTGAGTGTGACTCAGTTGTCGCTCTGCCCGCGGACAGAGACGCGGCTGAGGAAAATAAATACTGTGAGGTGCCCGATCACGTTGAGCAGCTACCCAGGGCTGTATCATCCATCGTGCCATGTCTAATAGATGTTAGTTATCAGTTATCTCCTGTTAATTCCCCTCACCAAGTTCTCCACCGCCTTAACCAGGTACTGAACTAATACAACTGAACTTATGCAACCCACACTGCACTAAATAGGGGGGATCGATAGTTGCAGATGCTGAGCAATGTTCTTGCAATTGCAATATGAGCACTGGTAAAAAAAGGTTCCTGAAGACATTAGGTTTATAATACCCGGAAATTCACACATAGATATCCCCAAGGACACAGCACAGTGGATAAAGGCATTAGTTAGATCCAGTGACAAGGTCCAAAGAGTGTGAATTCAGTACCTGGTTAAGGCGGTGGAGAACTTGGTGAGGAATTAACAGGAGATAACTGATAACTAACATCTATTAGACATGGCACGATGGACAATACATATTCTTCAGGTGGTTGGAATGTCGAACTGAACCCTTTATTTCGCTCGCTGGCGTAGACTGTTCTTGTTCGGTCCTGTCACTGGATCTAACTAACGCCTTTGTCCAATGTGTCATGCCACGTGAAACTAGAACAGTCTACCCCAGCGAGCAAAATAAAGTATTCAGTTCGACATTCCAATCACCTGAAGAAGGCCGGAACGTACAACGGCCGAAACGTTGTGATAAATATGGCAACAAAGATTCGGACAGTCCGAATAATGTAAATAAAGTACAATAAAATTAATGAAGAAATTAAAAAAAAAACTATTAATTAAGAAACAAAACTAAATGTTAACTTTGCCCAATAATTAAAACTATATTATAATTAAAACTATATTGTATATTTTGGCAGCAACCCTTCCTTTATATATGTTTCATTTCATGTGACAAACAAGGAACATTTTTAAAGTTCATTTTTTATTTAATTTTTCGATTGTTCTATCAGTTGCGTCTCTGTCTTTGGTCAGAATTTGACTCAGTTGCGGCTCTGTTCGCGGACAGAGATTCAGCTTAGGAAAATAAATACTGTGAGGTTCCCAGTCCCGGGGAACAGCTGCCCGAGGCTGCACTCCCCATAATTCACTAAAGAGGGGGAATCGTTAGTCATATCGATGCTAGCGCAAACGACGGTTACGGATGCTGGACAATTTTTGTCCTTGGTCCGAGTTGGAATTTTTGGATACACTGATGTACTAGTGAGCCAGCCAAAATGAACTGACTCATTTTATAGTTCACCAATAGAAGGGTTAACCAATCAGAAGGCTCAAAATATTCACTGCGACATGTATAAAGGCGGCCATTTTTTTTTTCCGAATATTCACTGGCAGCCTTTGATATCGAAGACTGATGAATTACAGAACAGCTGCTGGTGGTATTGGCGATATAGGCGGATTCAGTAGAGTGTCTGACTCGTGAGTGTTAATCTTTAACGTTGTTTCATTGAACAGATTACATACTGCGCTGTATTCTATATTCATAGACTATGGTGCACATAGTCAACAGTCCGTGGGGCTCGCGCGTGGGTTACCCACATTAAACCCGACTTTGTGTCACATCCTGTCTCAATGTGATGACCAGTGTAAATAACGATATACTAGTAAAAAAAAATGCTGCACTCAAAACTTCAAGTACCGCTTCTTAGTTAACCTGTTTTTGTAGAAATTCTTCACACAGCTCAATCAAGTAGGTTTCTGGCATGATCAGGTTTATCTCATGATCAATGGAGTTTATTTATAAAAATAAGACAATAGTGTCTTGCGTTTTGGGAAAACACAGATAACAACAGCTTGTTCAATTAAAAGGAAGCCATAGTGAAGACAAGATAAAACAATAAACTTTCTCCCAATTGACCAGACAACTATATATATATATATATATATATATATATATATATATATATATATATATGGTTGGATAGATTTTGTGACCGTGGGTTTCACGCTTTAGCGATCGTCAGACATCGCTAAAGCGTGAAACCCAGGGTCACAAACTCATCTATCCAACAAATATATTAACTCTATCTCTGATATTGAGCGCTTTCTAATAAGTACCGCGCATATAATATATAAACAATTATACATACTTATATTTATTTATATTTATATACACTTTTCACTATATATATATATATATATATATATATATATATATATATATATATATATATATGTATGTATGTATGTATTATAGCTGGACACTCGTATACCAAATCCCTACAGCAGACTCTCGCTCAGGCACATTTTCTGCTTGTTCAACACCCACAGAGCCCATTTTCGCTCACAAGGTGTGGTATGGTTTTCAGGTACTTTCCAAAGCTGCCACACGCTGGGATCGCCCCCCACTCCAGACCAATAACATCAGAAAGTCTTCTCCCTGATAAATCAACCGTAGTGAGATTCGTGGTGGCGGACCTTTGAGTTAAAGTTCAATATGATATATATATATATATATATATATATATATATATATATAAAGAAATATAGTCTTAAGATGTGGTATATTTAAGGGATAAAGTGCTCAATATCAGAGATAGAGCGTGTGTAAATATAAAAAGTGAACATAGAAGTCAACATAGGGCGACAGTCTGTTTCATGCTATATGCAGTCGTCAGGGCATGATTGCATCTAGCATGAAACTGTCGCCTCTATGTTGATTTCTATGTTCACTTTTATATATATATATATATATATATATATATATATATATATATATATATATATAGTTGAAGCAAAGCGCCAACGCAACTGGCCTGAAGATTGCATTTAAGCATGAATCAGACTGTCGCTACTGGGTGTTTACCTCAATGTCCACTTTTATATATATATATATATATATATATTTATATTTATATACGCTCTATCCCTATTTTGAGCACTTTAATCCAGATGTCCTGGTCCGTGACCGGTCTGTGGATCATTTAATACCGGACCGTAAAGAAATAATTAAGCTGTTTAAACTTATATAATAGATAAATTGATTATTGGACTTTAAAAAGATTTGTTTAAATATTCCAATATTCGTCTACTCAATACTATCTATCATAAATTTAGGTTCCTTTTTATAATTAATGTAAATTTTACGTCTAACTTTACTGTAAGTTCATTTTACAATTAATAGATATTTTTATTTATTTGTAATAGTTATCAACTAATTTTCTAATCCCAACTAATTTTCAGATTCTACATTGATTCTAAATTATGGTGATTTGATTCCGTTTTGTTTGATTTGGTTTACGGTATATCAACTTTTAAAAAATAGAGTTGAGGGCTTTGCCGTGATTAACAAATCGAATGTGAACTACGCTAAATTTAAATTCACCGGGGAAAAAAATTAATATAGGTCATGACACGAAGTTGTCTGCATATAAATCCTAGACCATTTCCTTGTGGGCAGATACAGATTGTTACATTGTTTCGTAAGATGTATCAGAATCAGACGCTAAAATATCTTTTTAAATGAATTCGCTCCAAGCAAGCCAGGAGTGTCCCTAGCACAGCAAGGGGTTATAGAGAGTGAGAGTAAGGGTAAAGAGGAGTGTTTGGGAAAAGGATAAATAAAAGGACAGGGATCAATGTCAAGGCATCAGAAAATGTCGATTGGCATTTCATTTGAATATTTGAAGATTATAGCTATCAGGGAAGCCAGTGATAAGAAAGGAGTTCTACTGACGGGAGGAGCGAGATAAAAAGCTGTTGGAGTCGAAGTGATGGCTACATTTAGTCGTTTTGACAGTGAAAGGGTGGAACCGAGATGCTAACCTAGTAGCACGCTTAAATTCATATAATTTGGGAACCAGCGAAAGTAGCTCGTCAGGGCAGTTACCGTGAAAGTATTTGTAGAAAAGGCAGAGGGAAGCCACAACATGTCTGTGAGATAGTGACTGCAAACAGGATGCCAATTCAGGACCAACCAGGTTACATATCCGTCTCTGGATTTTGTTTAGGACCTCGAGATAAACAGCGGGGTCACCAGACCATATATGGCAGCAAGTATTCCATACAAGGACGAATGGTTGATTTGTAGATTTGAAGGATGGACTCCGGCGAAAAGAACCTAGCCAGAAACATAATATTAACTCTACTATGTATTGAGCCCTCTTTTAAATGAAATGTTACATACAGTGGAATCGTACTCCATTTGTTCTCATTTTACCTGTATATATATATATATGTGTGTGTGTGTGTGTGTGTGTGTGTGTGTGTGTGTGTGTGTGAAAAGTGTATATAAATATAAATAAATATATGTATGTATAATTATTTATATATTATATGCGCCAATACTTATTAGAAAGCGCTCAATATCAGAGATAGAGCTAACATATTTGGTTGGATAGATGTGAGTTTGTGACCCTGGGTTTCAAACTATCGTGACCAAATATATATATATATATATATATATATATATATATATATATATATATATATAGTTTTAAAAACAAGGAATGCATTGATTTTAATTTTAAAAGTCTCTAGGGCCCTTTCAGCCAACATCTCATTAGGAGACAATCGTTGGATTAGCGAAAAGAATATAAACGATATTTAAGAGCAAAAAAAAGGGGGAAACACACTAAAATAAATTTAGAATTAAAATCAATGCATTCCTTGTTTTTTAAAACTATTTATAAATTTTGTACCTCAAACATTTGTTTATATATATATATATATATATATATATATATATATATATATATATATATATATATATATATATATATATGAGACGTTTAAGTAGGAACTGATCAGATT